GAGTACCTCAAGCACAGCATCTCTGTTGAGTCCCAAAAGTACTTGCAGTATACCATGTTACATTTAATAGACAGATTACACAAATGAAACTGCTTATTTGCATTCTCTTACTTCGGAAGGGGCCAGGGGCAGCAATTATATTTTTGCAGATGGAAAGCTTTTTTTTGTTTGTTTTGTTGTTTTTTTGTTGGTTTTTTTTTGTTTGATTTTGTTTTTTTTTAAAGCATATTCTGGCTTACCTCTTTGAAAATGAGAAAGAGTGAAATGATAAAAGGAAGAAGTTGTGACATACTTGGAATATTTGAGAGAAATACCAACTGAGAAAAAGGAATAAAAACAAAGCAGGAGCTTGGAAAAAAAGCAAGCAGGAAAAAGCACAGAAGCACAAACGTGAAGAAACGTGAAAATTTAAAAGGCATGGTTACATGTCAAAAGCTATACAGGTCAAAATGTATTATGTATGTTTGCTTTTGGAGAGCTCCAATTTGTTGATTCAGAGAAATGCATTTCTATCCTGGCGATGAGTCAAAAGCATGAGACAGCTCAGGATGAATGGGTGTCAGAGTAAAACAAGAGGTATGAGAAAACGATGTTAGAGGAACAAATGAAACCAAAAGGATAAGGGATCAAGTGTTTGTGTCAGCACAACACTTTTTCAGAACTAAGCTGTCATATTTATCTCCTTCCTCCTCTCCCTGTTCTATCTGCAAATGGGGAATGACTTTGGAAGTTAGTATGCATTTTCCAGTTTCTACTATCTAAGTGAGCAAAATCATTTCTCCCAATAGTAGCAAGAAGATCAATCTCAAGAACATACACCGTATCTTTCTCTTCAATGACAGCTTCACCTAACAGTTCAGATAAACAAGGCATACATCTGTTTAGAAATCACTTGGGTCCATATGTACACAAAGGAGTGAAACATTTCCATCCCATTCTGTTGCAGCTTCCTAATACAATCAATCAGTCAATTAACAGAAGTGACATTTAACTCAAGATGTTCTCAACCTATCATTAAACAGCAACTTCAGACCTCTAACAAATGATACAGTTATAAACTGCTTCAGAATAACACTAACAATAACTGCCTAAACAAGAAGCTCCCTTTTTCTTCTATGAGGTTATCAACCTGTCTTAGTTCAAAAACCACAAGCATGCTGAACACTTCTCAGTCTTAAGGCTGGAGTGGTGGTAGGTGTGGTTGCTTTTGATTTAGACTTCAGAAGACAGGTATAATTTCAGTCTAAGTACCACTTAATTTTTGTCATAATAAAGTAGGCTTGATCTTTAAGTATCATTGCCATACTCTCTTCATTTTACTCTTTTCCTTAAAATGAGAATGCAAGTAATGCAAGAGTGACCAAAGAGTAGTATACATGCACAGAATTTTACGTAATTATAAGAAGCCGAAGATTTGTCCTTGCTTCAAGACTTCTAGCAATTTTATACCAAAATGCCATAATCTAAACACAGTGGTGGTGTTTGACTCTGGCAGAGTGCATAACCAGCAGCAGTAATTAAATCAGCTACCAGCTGTTCCTGCATTAACAGTTCTGAGTCATGCAACTGCAGAGAACCTTTATCTCTAAAAGCTTCAACTCTTAAAATACATTTAAAAAAAAACCTGTAAGCTGTTGCTTAACAAATAAGTTTTACAACAATGACTATAAAGCATTACAGTTCCGATCCTACATTTACATTCTGGTATTTGCCAAAGTCCAGAACTTCCCCTCAGAGGGTTCACTGATGATGATGAGACTGCATACAGAGGCAGGTGTCAGCCCCTGTTTCCAAAAGGAGGCCCAACCACACCAAACAGGAGAGAGCAGTACCCACTCCTGATGCAGTACCATCAGCAGGTACATTTGATACCTCCTTAAAAACAAAAAAGTAAGCACACTTGCAATAAGCAGACACAACATCAACCATGTTATTCCAACTACTCAGAGGATACTCAAGAAGTTCCACAGTATCTACAGAAGATTTACAATGAACAAATCCCTCTAAAGTCATCCGGAGCCCACAGAAGACAATTCATCTGTGAAGCTCATGTATATATATTTAGCCCCAGGTCACATGCTGAGCATTTTTATCTTCTCAAACGTTACTAGTTCATTTAGAGGATGTCTGTTTAACCAGCACAATTTAGAGTTCACTAGCATCACTATCTTCTTTAAAAGACACCACATAGTAATCTAGGCTGTTCAAGCCTACCTTTATTTTCTCAGCCACAAACCACAAAACAAGCTACAGTTGTTTTAAGTTGCAGTAGGACTAGCGCTTCAAAAGGAATTCAGTAATTCTTGTAGTAAAGTATTTTAGCAGGTGGAGCACCTTTGCATTCTGAGCTTTAGAATAAAAAAAAGATGAATGGCATTTCTTATATCAAGTACCTAATTCTTTATCATCGTGCATCCTTAATTATGCCATCCCAACATAAGTACAAAAAAAAAATAATCAGCATTTTGGATTTGCTATAGCTGCATGTCCACTTGACAGTGACAGGAAGGATTCCTAAAGATTCACAGAAAAAGGCCTTAAGAGGACACTAGAAGTATGCTTACAAAATAAATCTAAAAATCTAAAGCAAATGTAAGTTTCAGTAAGATCAAACTCATAGCCCGCTGTTACCATCATACACTGAAAGTAACATTGTTACTGGCAGACAGCTATGTAGGTATAGAATTGTACAGCTCTGCCTCTTTCCTACTAATCTGGAAATCTTGTCCCCACGTTGTTAAATGATTTCAAGAGGGAAAAATAAAAACTGGCTCATTTATGAACTAACGAAAAGATACTGCTTCTCTTGTGCTTGGCTCTGTGACAACAGGCCGGTATTTTTACATCTGTCAGCTTTGATTCTCAGAAGAACAAGTGAGGGACAAGCAGCTATCTCTTGTCTCAATGTCCCAAACCTGTTGTACACTCCTCCTGCAACAGGAGCTGGAAATCTGCAGCACAAAAGCCCTACCACGCTCAGCCTCAAACCTCAGTTTTGCACAGAGCTGAACAGCAGCGCATAACACTCAACATCGTACCGGATGATATTTTCAGTTACATAAATCAACGTTAGCCAATGTCAGCCGGCACCCTCTATGACATCTGGATAAACACCTCTTACTGCTTTCAGACAGCAGATAAATAATAACAGGCAAAGTGTGAAGATATGAAGACTTTAATGTCACTTACTCAAATGCAAAGAACAGCCCGCTGGTGACCAGGATGAGCACGAGAGTCAGGTAGAAGACTCCAGTCTGCCGAGCCATCATGATCCTCCCATTGCAGAAGAATTTGTTCCTTCCAGGAAAAACCTCCCATTTTCTCTTGGGAGCTGTCTTCTTTTTCTTATGGGGAGACTCCATGGGAGACGAAGAGCTGTGTGTGCTGATCTGGCTGTATTCGCAGTCTTTCATGGGCCCACTGCCACCTCCAGGTGTCATCAAGAGAGAGTACTGTGTGGGGAGAACCCCACCAAGAAGTACACGCGATATAAATCTGTGCAAAGCTCCTGCTGACCGAGGCAGCACTCTCCTCCAGTCCCACTTAAAAAAATGAGTTCTGCTACCACAGCAGCAATAGGGCCACTATGCACACACGGGTTAATTCTTCAGTTACCAAAGATGTCATATCACAAACGCTTCCAAGGGGTCCTTCCTTCCTCCACCAGTTACAAAACCATCATGTAGGGGAATCCTTTGTAAAGCAAATTTTGACAAAACGAGACCAAAAAGAAAAAAAAAAAAAAAAAAAAAAAAATTATAAAGCAGCTCAGCTGTCCAAAAATAAAATTAAAAAAAAAAAAAAAAATCAGTCTTTTTCTTCTCCGAGTTTATTTTCGAAGGGGAGGGTGCTTCTTCCTTCCCACGCACACCCCGAGAGCTCTCTCCGCGGGTCAGGAGGTTGGCCAAGGCAAGGTTTAGCAATCGAGTCTATCATTCATAGCGATTTGGTATAATCCTCCTTCGCGCAGCAGATTTCACTGCTAAAAATGACCATTGCTAAAACGCTCCCCCAAGAGACACGCGTAACAAATCATTAAAGAAAGAAAAAGCAAGCAGCGCGCGCGGCGCGGCTCCAGCTGCAGCTCCCTCCCGGCTCACCCCTCCGGCCGGGGAGGAGCGGCGGCCGCTGGCTCAGGGCCGGGGCCGGGCGGACGGCCGGCGGGCAGCCGGGCGGCAGCGCCTCATCCCCCCCTCTCCGCCGCGGCGCCGAGCGGAACCGCGTCCCCGCCCCGCGCCCCGGGCGGCGCCGGCCGCCGCAGCCCCCGCCTCCCCCGGCACAACAGGTCCCCGCCGCCGCCTCGGTCCCGCGCACGCGGGGAGGCGGCGGGGCTGAACGGCAGAGGGGCGAAGGGCGAGAGCTGTGCCGGGACCCGGCCGGCCCCTTACCATCCTCCCGGCCCCCGGCCCTCGCGCTGCCCAGAGCCCCTCCGCACGCCGGGACCTCGCTTCACCCCCGCCTCCGTTAAAAGATATCGGTGGAGCCTTTACCCAGGCTTATCCCCCGCAGCCAGACCCGGAGGCAGCAGCGGCCGCCTCCTCATCTCCAGCGGGAAGCGGCGAGCAGGGACCGCACGGAGCGCACCCCGCCGCCCTCAGGCAGCCCCTCCCCGGCCGAGGGGCAGGCGGCTCCCGCTCCGAGAGCTCGCAGGGACGCCGAGCGCCCGCGCTGCGGGCCCGTTGCCAGAGGCCCGTTCAGCCCTCGCCTCCCCCTGCCCACGCGAGCGCCACGGGCTCGCGCCGCCGAGCCCCAAGAGATGCTTCCCGTCCGCCCCGGGCTCGTCCTACCGGCCCGAGCTCCCGGGCCGAAGGCAAACGACTTCTGCGGGGGAGCGATAGGCAGCGAGAAGCCCTGCCCACGCGGCCCGACCCAACGGGACCTCCCTCCTTCGCCGGGCGGGCTCAGGGCGCGCCCCTCCTGCCGCTGGGAGTTGTAGTTTTGCCGCCCCCCTCCGCCGAGCTGCTCCGTGCAAGTTAAGGGCGGGGAAGGGACTACAAATCCCAGCATGCCGTGCGAGCACTCCCCGAGGCAGGGGGCAGGGCGGCCCACCGGACCGCGGGAGTGTTGGCAGAGCCGCGGAGCGGTCGGCGATCTGTGGTGAGAGCGCGGGGGCTGTCCTCGGATCCTCCCGATGTGCGCGGCGCAAGCAAATTTAACAGCCGTATCGTTTACAGAGTTCTGCAACTCGCAAAAGGGGAATGGATCAGCTTGGGAGATGTGGTGGGAATCAGCCCTGCCGCTCCCGTGCTGGTCGGATTTCTAGATGAATGACAACACGTTGCAGTCAGCTTGCGTCTTTTGTGGTTGGATGCTGTCCTGGCGGAAGGCACCAGAGAAATAGGTACGTGAGGATGCAGCTGAATTCTAATATGTAGGTGGTATGTTTTCTGTCTTCTTAACTTCATTTATAGTTTTACAGTGACATATTCGTCCCTTCTGTGTACTACAACAAACTAATTATTTCTCCATAAATGCTGACTGATACCAAAGGAACTCTGGAATAGACTGACCACTAATGGATATTTCCTCTTCCTTGGAGGAGATAATTACTTTGAAATCTCAATAGTGGCCTGGTATCCTCATGCTGAGTGGTTATTTGTTGATATAAAAGAATTATTTTAGAAATCAGTAAATCATGAAGGTTGGAAAGACCTCTAGGATCATCAAGTCCAACCCATTCCCACTGTGCCCACTAACCGTGTCCACCCCTCACTGCCACATCCACACAGCTCTTGAACATCTCCATGGATGGTAAGTCCACCGTGTCCCTGGGCAGCCCGTGTCAATGCCTCATCACTTCTTCTGAGAATAAATATTTCCTAATATCCAACCTGAACCTCCCTAGCATGAATAAAAGCCATTACTTCTTGTCCTATTGCTGTTACCTGGGAAATGCTAATGCCACACAGGGAAAGCATGGAGGGGTCTCACTCTCTGCCAGGAGTCAGCAGGCAGCAAAATGTAAAACCAGTTGCTGATACCATCTCCTGTGCAAACGCAATGACATCTTTTTATTTTTCCCTCACATGTAATGGGGCTGCTGCATTATTCTTCCCATATCGCCCTTCTCCTCCCCCCCCCCCCCCCCAGCACTTGTTGTCACAGCAGTTTTATTCTTTGAAACGTTCTTTCATTCTATCTTCATGAATACAGACAGCATCAATACATGGCAGCAGAAGGCTGCTGACAAATGTTGTGTTTCACCAACATGCGTTTTTAATCTTTATCAGGTTTTTACTAGCACACTGCCTGCACTCTGACAATATTAATGATTGTAAGATGTGTAAAGGTTCTCTCCTGAGATTAGGAAATACTTTAGACATTCAGAAAACAGAACAGTTTATGGGAAAATGTCATTATCAGCTTATCTTCACTGGTAGAACACAGGCTAATTTCAGAAAAACTCTTCAGAAACAAAGCATTTGTTAAACAATGCCAGCACCTCATTGAAGCTGCTGTTTTACTCCATGGTATCCTGGTTCTTTTTTTCCAAGACATTGTGGTGTAAAGTGATCGTCAGTCATGTTAGCAGAAAGAAATAAAATAAAAAAATCATAGTGCCCGAACAAATAATACTAAAAAACTCAGAGTGAAAGTCAAACTTTTACTTTCAATAGCCAACATACTTTGACTCTATCGGGATCACCCAGCACTGCACATGGTACTTTTCACACAGCTCTAGTGCCTAATCACTATCAGTCCTGCACTGGAATTCAAGATATTATTGGTGTTGTTTTGCAAATGTTATCAGCACCTTCTTAAAGCTGCCTTTAGAACCTTTTGAAAATGCCATACAAAAATACCTTATGCATTTAATATTTCACACTATTTGACTCTTGTCAATAGCATTGAAAGCACTTGTTAGAATTCACACACAATATTAATGGAAATTGCTTTGGAACACCAAACAGATTACACCATAAACACAATACCTAAGATGAATCAATTGTCTCTTCATAAAACTTTGTATCATCATGTGTCCTGGTGTGTACTTCTCTGATTTCTTACCTGTGACTCAGATTGATCTCATGCAATGGGAGAATATGTTGCAGCAACATTTACATCATATTTACATATGTTTTTTTCGAATATTATCTTTTTTGTTAGGAAAGTACTAACAAATGAGCTGTTACCCCTGAGAATTACTATCTCTGACTCTGTCTGGAGGCATCAAAAGGGCAAGTATTAAAACAACAGGGAAGCTCAATTGCTGAGACAACACGTCACCTCACATATGTAGAACATCTGTTACCATACTTGATTACAGGATCAGCTTCACTATGATATAAGCATTATCAATTTACTTAAGTGATTAAATAAACATAAACTAGAAAATTGTATCATTTTGAACATATCTGTACTGCATGCACTCTACTTTGCCAAATCAATTGCTTCTAATGAAAAAAAGGAAGAAGTAACAGGTATTGAACTGAAAGATCTAATATTCTCAGAGGTGGAAAGAAATCCACCTTTCCACTCAGAGGTGGAATAAAATGGAGTGCCACAGTCATGTTTTCTGGGCACATTTTCCAAATCTTTCTCAAGTGATTTTGGAAAAATTAACAATCAAGAAAAGCAGTGATATTACCTTTGACTTGTGAGACACTGAAGGAAGCCTTGCAAGTTCAGGAGTACAGAAGTACACCATACATGGCAGTTGCATGGCAGTAGCATTCACATAATAAGAGTTTTCTACAGTATAACATTCTTCCTTATCAAATACTTTTCCACTTTGGTGCTTTTCAAAAATAATTTCTACCACTGCTTAGCCAATGAGCCATTCTTTAACAGTCTTATTAGTACCAACTTGGAAGTGCTTCATTTCCTTAAAAAAAGGCTTTGGATAAAACTGAAAATATTGCTAAATTTCACAAAAGTTGTCAAATAGCTTTGAAAGGTTTTGCTTTTGCTCATTACTCCTCCAACAAGTTAAACATTTCAGTTTTCTAATTTTATTGTCATTTCATTTATTTTAAACAGCTTAGTTTTGCTTAGTGTTGTTTAAATCATTACATGTCTCTAGAAATGTACATATTTTGCAAAATATAAAATAACTTTTCTGTGGGTTTTGCCAAGAGAACTGAAATTACATATTACTTAAGCACTAGCATCAATGACCTCCTTTGTAATGACAGATTTGTTGTTCAGAGAAAATTGTCCAGCTTCAGACTGTTGACTTTTAAATTGTCAGCGCAGTAAGTCCTAAAAGACTAGATAATATTATCCATATGAACTGTAAAAAAGGGAGAAAATAAAGAAAAAGTGGAAGCGTATCAGAAGCACTCTCTAAACACAACTTTGGCTTCTTAACATATAAATTCACTGCTTTGGGTAAAAGTCAGAATCTATGGATATTTTGATTTATTCCAGACCATAACTGTACTTGAGAATGCAATTGAAATCCAGAAGTTTTCAGAATTGGGTATGTTTCCCATGTTCAGTGACTACTTCCAAAGTTTAGGAGATACGGCCACAAAATTTTACAATTTCAATTAAAAAGAAAATGGAAAAAACCCCATACACAAGTATTGTAGGAGATCGTCACTGTGGTATTTTAACCTACTTAACACTCCTGCTTGCTCTAATTTGAGCAAAGGAAAGAATAAAAAATTGTTAATTCTGGAAAGTTCTTGTAGATCACGAGCAAACCAAAAGAAAGGGCCAAAAAAGTACAGTTAATTGAGGAAAAAAAAAATTTCCAATGTTGTCAGTCTTGGAGCACGTAAAACATTCCCTCATGGGAGCCAAGGAACAACTTTCCTCAGTCTTAAAACCTGCTGTAGTATCATACAGTGTCTGAGCAGTGCAGTGGATTACAGTTTGTTTGCTGTTTTGCCTGCACCTGAAGAGCTTTGCATTCTTCATCACTTGATGCAGAGCAGCATTGTCTGGTTATTGTCTGGTACTGTACAGAAATTTCTATACAGCAAAGGTCTGTAATATGGCTATATATTACCAGTTCTTGGTTAAAGTGGTTCATACAGCTTTATCCTAATCCCAGTTCACCAAACCGTTCCTTTTCACACAGTGAACTTCCTCTTTAAAGCCACTTTTTTTTTTTTTTTTTTTCTTCTTTTTTTTCCCCACAATACATACAGGAAATGAGCTTAGTGTTTCAGAGAAATAAGCATGTGATCACAGGTCATACCCATCTGTGTGGCACATCTGCTTTCTTTTGGCTGCCAGGGCACTCCTCTGACTACACATTCAACTTGTTGTCAGCCAGAACCCCCAATATCCCTTTCCATGAGGCTGCTTCAGGCTCTCGTCCCCCAGTCAGTATATGTATCCAGGACTGCTCCATCCCAGGTGCAGAATCCGGCACTTGCTCTTTTTAAACTTCATCTGGTTGGTGATTACCCAGTCATCTAGTTTATCAGCATCTCCCTGTAAGGACTTTCTATCCTCAAAGAAGTCAACAGCTCCTCCCATTTTAATATTCAGTGCACACCAGTTCATTTTCTGCAATGTTATTATGCTAGAACAATTCAGCAGAGGACATGACAAAGCATCACAAGGGAGGGGCAGGAGGAACGCGTTGGCCAGCAAAAAGAAAGTGAAAGAGGAGAGAGAAAAACAAAGGGACAGGCTGCATGCCTCCAGCCAGCAGTTAGATTTAGATAAGCTGCCACTGAACTTCAGGCTCAACCACATCTGCTCACAGAGGCATCAGCTAAGTGCAAGAGCTGGCAGAAAGTGAGAGGAGACAAACAAGCAGCTTGAAGGCAGAAAAGGAATTGGGAGCAAAACGTTCTCCTGTTGGGTAGTGATGAACTGTTAAATAAGCTCAAGCTTTCTTATTAAGACTTCCTGGGGAGAGCAATATATAGTGACCGAGTTCTTCCCACAGTGTTGGCATTAAGCTTTTTTTTTTTTTTTTTCCCCTCTTTCATTGATTTTTCAAGAAACATTTAAGAATTTAATTCTACTTGAAATTGCTGCCATCTTTCCTATTTAGCCAAGCAATTTCCAAAGCCTTTCTTTAGAAATGGAAGGGAAGTCTCACTGACACTTTAAACCATTGTGCAAGTCCTTATAGGAAACAAAACAAACAAAAGAAACCCCAACAATGTATTACACGCCTGCAAATGCTCATGTAATTAAAAGGATGCTGTTAGTGGCAATTATTTTAATTAACTTATTAAAATACTAAAAATGCCTTGAGTTAGAGTTCTTTAAATAATATCTCCCGCTTAAAATAATATGGCTTTTATAGATCTTTTTTTTGCTGTCTTACTGTGAGCTGTAGAAGGGATCAGACTCTTAGTAGGTGAAAGAATAACTGCAAACAATGAATCATAGAATAGCCTGGGCTGGAAGAGGCCTTAAAGATCATCAGCTTCCAATTCTCCTGCACATCTAATCTAAATCTCCCCCTTTTCAGCTTAAAATTGCCTCTCCTTGTCCTATCACTATCACAACATGTAAAAAGTCTGTCTCCTTTCTGATTATAAGCTCACTTTAAGTGTTGTCAGGCCACAATGAGGTCTCCCTAGAGCCTTCTCTTTTCCAGGCTGAACAAGCCCAGCTCCTTTAGCCTGAAATATGCTCAAGTTTATCTCATATACAACCTTTTCCCCTCACCTCTGCATATTTCCTGACTGTGGCTTTCTTTCTCTTCTCTGCTGTCATAGCAAACAGCCTCTTGCAGCACTATGGAAAAGCAGGAGCTCATTTTCTGCAGTAGAGCACAAGAAAAGGCTGTCACCCAGCTCACGCAGGAGCATGACACTCATTTTGTGAGAAGACTTCATTATAATTACAGTCGTGGGCTGTTACACTGTTTTGGACTACATACTTCAAGCAGCCATTGCTGGCAGAGGAACACATCCACGATGTGTTTATGTGGAGAAACATAAAGTACATAATAGTTTTCCTGTAGGAATTAGGCCATTAGAGACTTCTGAAAATCCCGGTGGGAGGCTATCTGCATCATTGCACACTTAACTAGGCCATCTGAAAACAGAGCTAACTGCTTTTGAAAATCTCTTTAATGCTTCATTGTCACTATTCGACATCATTAACTGGGAAGATTTAACATTATATCATTGCCTCTCTCCTGCTCTCTTTTTTTCTTTCCCATACTCCTTTTCCTGCCTACAGCTTGTTTTTGTGTCTCTCCCACGTCCTCCTCTCCTGCTGCATATACTTTCCTCCAGAAAATAGCAAAGTCTCTGTTTTCATACTCACTTCTTTTCGGGCCATAAAACAATGAGCAAAACCAGTAAGGAAGAGCAGGTCATGTTACACCTTTGAGCTATTGTTTCCAGGACAATAAGTCCTGACAGACTCAGGTTTGCAGCTCATCAAGGACAGAATTAATGTCCAATTTGGAAGGCCTAGGTTCCTTCCCTCTTGCCTGCAAAAAAGATAGGAAACTTATTTCATTTACTTGACAATGTATACTCTAGAATCTGAATATTCAATGAGTCCTGTAAACAAAGGACTAGATATGACTCACAAATCATATGGCTGACAACACTGCGGTAGAGAACAGAAGTGTGTCACTGATGATATACAAGTGTGGTCAGAGACATAAAACAGACATATTTTTCCATGTTCATTTGCTTACTGTAGTAATTGTACCCATATTTCTGTGAATACTTAGGTGGATGAGCTTTGCTCTTCTCAAAAGCTTGGCACACATTTATGGCATCAGAGTACAAACAATTACTTGTTCTGGTTGTGGGTGCAACATCTTCAGATGGAAATGTGCTTTTAAATTCATAAAGTTTTTTTTCATACCACAATTAATGTGGTGGCTAACTTTTAAATGTTCTCAGAAGTTTGCATTCTTCAAATATACCCAAGTGGGCTTCATAAGACATATTTCTATTTTTTCCAGTAAGAATAAAAATAAATAAATAAAGGATAAAAATAATAATAATAATAAGGAATGGTAGGAAGGGTAAATCTGTGATTATTTGCATGGTTAATACAAGGTTTTGACCAAGATTCTCAGAGTGACTTGCAAAGGCTTTAGAACATATGCTTTCAACACCAAAATAGAAGAATGAGTTCATAAATCTGAATTTTTGTAGAATTACCATATACTAATCTAATAGCATTCATATAAATGACTTCTGATGAGCAAATCGCAGCCTGTAGCATAATCACATATTAAACCAATAAAGCTGTAACCAGAAAATCCAAGAAATTCATTCAGAATTCTGCAGGAAATTATTCATGCCATAAATAATATGCAAAGATTAGTCATTGGAGCTTTATGAATTTGTCTGTTTTATTTGCAGGACTGTAGGTATCGAATACTAACAGGAATATAACAGGAAAAAATATACATCTTAGCTTCAGCAAAAAAAAAAGCAAAAAAAAAAGCTTGGGGTAAAATTTTAAACTCAGGCTTAATAGAAAGGCAATTGAAGTGCTTACCAGTAGCCAATCTCTAACTAGATGATATGTAAGGTCCCTTTCAGCCCAAACTATTCTGTGATTCTGTGACCCATAGCAGAATACATGCAGACCTGCTTTCTATCCTGCTCCATGCGCATGAAGTGGGACACTCTGTGTGCCCCTTCAGCCACAGAACCAGCAATACTAGACAGGAAAACAACAGAAGAGGAATGCTTGTGTGAATATCTGAGCTTGAAGAACTTCAGTTACTAGTAAATAGGATCTGCTTTTAACTTTAATATAACTTTGTGATAATTTGATAGGTATTTACATGAAGAAATTTATAAACTGGTATGCATAGAAGAAGGAAATATCCAAATAAATATAGTGAGAAGCCTGAGACCTTCAAGCAAACAGCATCAACCCTAGGTCCCTGCAAGATGATGGATACTCAATAAAATCGATGGCTGAAGCTTCAAATGGATGCTCAGAGCTGAGGATGGTGACATATGGAGGGGAAAAATTAAGTACCTGCTGTTCATGACATAAACTGCAGGTGGATTTTTAGGATTACCTTACTCAAAATAGCATCCTGTCAAGGGAAATCATCTGTAAAAACCTGCATTTCTCCACTTTCAAGGTAAGCGCAACCAATTTCTCCACAGAGGAATGCTAACAAGAGGGAAATTGCCAGCAGCACGAAGATTTATGAGATGGGATTTATGAGAACCTACTTTGGCCTCTTTTTATTTTTTTGGTGATTCTCATGCAGGCCAACTGGTGCAGGCTATTTCAGCACACAGATCAAAGCTAGGGCTTCCCTGAGCAGACCAGCTTCATCTTTATCCTTTTTCACATGGAGGAAAGCATATTTCAGTGCAAAAGTCATCTCCTACATTTTTTGTCTGCATACCACAGCCTTATTAGGCACCGTGCAAAACGCTCATCGATTGTCTGCCTCTAACCACAATACCTAACCACAACACGATGCTCAGAATAAGACTAACACACACTGGTAACCTTTGCACAGCACACTCTGTGAACAGTTCCTACCTGCTGTTGTTTTGCTTGCTGTAAGAGCCACTGCATCTGCTGCTCGTGCAACAGCTCAGGAAATTGTAACAGCCCCACCAGGGCTCTTCCAGCCTGCAAGGGCCAGGTTAAGCCATCTCTAGATGTCATCCCTCAACATGTTGCCGAAACTTCTAGATTTGCATGAAGTTGAATTTATCTGTACATTTATTTATTATTTCAAAGGCAACAACCAATACTTTATGACTTAAGAGGTTTTGCATAGTGGAGACCAACTTTCCCCGTGGCACCGCACTCTTCTCTGCATCTAAGATGAGCAGCAGATAATCAGGAATTCTTGGCTACAGGAAACCACAAGCAAGATGCCTGTCTGTATGAGTTAGCACCTGCCGTTCAGTGCTGGCAATCTGGGCTCCCATGCATATTCAGGAGGCAGCTGGTGCAGTTCAGCTTTGACAAATCTGAGGTGGGGCTGTTTGCAGTCAAGATCTTCAAAGCCATTCTCCAAAGCCTGTATACCCCTATAATCTTCTCCAGCAACAGTGAAAATACTGTCAGCTCTTTTCCCTGTGTGGATTTCCCCATTGCAGGAAGCAAAATATGAGATTCATGTTCCCAAAGGCTGTCTCTATACGGTTCTTATAATTACACTTAGAGAAAAGCTATCACTGTAATTTTCAGCTCTTCACTCATCCAAAGTGGGTAGCTGGCACTCTCTCTCCCTTTGCAGAACCTGGGCTTCTGCAAGGCTAGGGAGCCTATGTTTATTTTAGACTCTGGAGCTTTTTATCTCAAATGAAGTGCCCCTGCCCAGCCAAGCTTCACATGTGCAGTGCTGCAACAGACCATGCCCTCAGCTGGCTGCCCGTGAAGCCTGCTAAGATACAGAGGATGCTAATTCCTACGTTCTGCAAAAATCCTATGACCTGATGCACCTCTCTCTGTATTAAGGAGGTGGTGAGCCCTTTAGTGTGGATTATTCCTATAAGATTATGGTTTTCAGTGTGTCTGTATCCCTCTCAGCACTGCTGCTCCAAGCAATCCAGAGCACTAGGACAGCAGGCAAGTGGGTATCAGTAAGGGCACGTCCTCACAGGCAGCTCTTGGGTTTGTAGGGCCAGAAAGATGCTGCTTTAATTAATATCCATTCACACCAGCGCTCACAGAACAGAATTTTTCTCTGTGCATAGCCAAAAAAAGCACTGATTTCCTCTGATTTCCTTCCTTCACATCTCAGAAGACAAAAGTAAGACTTTTCTGTTCCTCTTTACACAAAACGACCATCTCCATCCTCAGCCCTCCCACTTCATTTTCCCACCTCCTTCCAAAGTCAAGAAGAGCACTAGTTTTGCTCCTTTTTACCAATCTACTGCAATTGTACTCCATCTCCTTAAGAACTGAACTCCACTCCTCTCTCTGAGCAGGTGGCTGGTTCAGGAGTGCTCTTTGCACAGGGCAGTGCCAACGGCTCATACACAAACAAAACCCATGCTCTCTCAAGCAGGTGGACTGTATCTCAGTGCTTGGTTGCCTGTCCATATCCCCTCTAGACGGAGGCAGAACATTACCATCTCACTCAAGGACACCAGACCTGGAACTGAGATCAGGGGAGGAAACACAGAGAATCCTCCAAGGCCTCACCTGGTACCTACCTAGAACATGTTGCTTGCAGCCCTGATAGACACTGTTAAAGCAGAGGCTTCTCTTTCAGGTGGGAAGAGATGGTGTGGGTCCTGAAGTCTAGCACATGCCTGCAAGAGATCACAAACTCTCATGCTGAACATTTACCTGAAATGAGCCAGAGATGATTCCATGTGTTTTTGGAGTCTAATTCATATAGCATGTGGATGAAATTAAATTTTTGGGAAGGGCATCAACATGTGACAGCTGAGAACATAGGAATGCTACATCAAGAATGCCAGCTGGCCAAAAACCAAGTATAAAAAGAGCGGCACTGTGTCACTGATAAAATCTTTGATCATGAAATGCTTTGTTTCTGCTGAGTGGCTGAGAATTGAAATGGGGTTGAACGTGCTCTATCCTATATGAATAGCAGCCAGACAGACATATGGGTAGGGTAGAAGCATGTCCTCTATAGACACTGGGATTTCTCTCATATCTACTGAGAGGGCACAGTTACTACAAACCTTGAAGACAGAAATACAGCTGGCAAGGACATAACTCTCTTGTGCTAGGTCCAGACTTGAACCAAGTTTTTATTGCAATCACACTTTTTTTTTTTTTTCTTTTTTTTTTTAAGGAAGCTTTTAGAGTTCATAAGTTTTCAAGAGGGAAAGGAATTAATCGGAGAGAAAATCCAGATCGTGCAGAATTTAGCTTGGAAAAGAAAAAGAGAAATTTTAATTTCTACAGATCATTAAAAAAAATAATGCTTTTTAAAAAATGCTATTTTCAATATTAATTAGAGAGAGATTATTTTTTTAGCAGGTTAACCTTTTATGTTTTGAATTTTATGTTTTAATTAAAAGGTTACTAAAATATATAATTTGTAATTAAAAATCAAAGCTCTTCCCATCCTTAGGAAATGCATTTGATTGCACTGTAAAATTCTCTGTAAACTAAACTCAAATTCATTTTGTGAGAGAAAAGTATTATACTGCTGTTTTACCATGTGGGAAAACAGAGTGCATTGTATTGATAACGAACTTCTTCAAATTTTAGAAAGCTATGCTAAGTACAGGAGCTCTGAGAAATCCTTTTTTTGTGGCTGCTGCTCTTTGCTGTCTTGGAAGGCCTGCTGCACTTGGTGATGGAGGTGGAGTACCATCTGGAACAAAGGCAAATGAGGTTATAGTGTGCATCACAGGTGGTCATCATCTGCATGGCCAGGTGCTGCTTTAATACCCCCAGTTGAGGGGATATATATTAAGTGCCCCATTTAAGGCATTTGATCATTTTTGTCACATCTCTGTCACACAGAGCAATGAATGCCACAGCCCTGATATTATAAACTCCAAAATGAATCTTCTTTTTTTGCAATATTCCTTTCTGTCAGTTCAAGGGGTCACCTATCTTCACCTGAAGAGGTTTATATATTTGTTTTCTCCTTTTTACTCAGCTGAAATCATTTTAAATGTCAGCTGTGAATCAGAAACCCTTGGCAGGTTGGTAACATCTGTGTCTCTGTTTTGCCAAATAGATCCAGCTGACCTTCCAGGGGTTCAGATACCCTCTGGCAGAGCAAAATGCCCCTGTCTGCCCAGATGACACCAGATATCATAAAATCTGCCTGATATGCATACATCCAGTATGTGTGCATGTGCACGCAGCACATTTCCACCACGTATTTGCAGCCTGTTGGAAGATCGGGGCCATAGCTTAAACCAGATAGTAAAGAGCTGTGAAAAAATTAATTGTACTTTCAGCTCTGTGAACACCGCAAAGCACTTCTAAAATTATATATCCCTGTTTCTTCCTCCACTCCCTCATTTTATCTACTTTGTAGCTCTTATTAGTGTTAACTTTGTGACCAAAGCAGAGCCGCTTAGAAAAGAAAAGCTGCAGCAGGACAAAAATATATTCTGGAGAATAAAAAAGCACTGCCCGATGAACGCAGAAGGAGAAGAGAAGCCAATGGTTAGTTTTAAGCTTAATTTCTGGTCTAAAACCAAAGACCTCTTTATAGTCTAATAGAATTATAGACTTGAGTCTACCATTAATAGCATGCATGGCGCCACTGTAATAAAAAAAAAAAATGGAAATTCATTGTCTAAGAATGATTTATGAAGTTCAGTGATTCATGTCAGAGTTTCCACGACATTGTGGTTCTCAAAAAATCCCAGGTCCAACTAACAGCACTCAGTTAGACATTGATCCTTTAATGAATACGTGCATTCCACTTTGGCAATGTTACAAGTGTGGAAGTGAGAGAGGAAGAGAATATGTGCAGCAAAATACTGAGAAACATCCCTGGTATGCTTTGTACTTAGAATCTTTAAGTTATTCATTTCATCTTTCCACCCCTGGGGACAAATATGTTCCACAGAACATGTAACTTCTTCTGAAGAAAATACACATTTTAAAAATTGAGTTCTTAAAAAAATGGAATAAGAAGATGTGAGCAAGCAAAGATCAGATTTGAGGATTGTTTTTGCAGTAATTTATTTCAGATGTTCATGCACGAATAAAAATACTACGTAGGAAATCGTAAGTTGCCCATTTTCTACCACACATTGTCCATGGTGTCTCTGTAGTTCACACAAAGTGGGTTTACTCTTTTTTTTTTTTTTTTTTTTTTTTTCACCAGGCACATTTAGGTATAATGGTTCAGCTCTTCTTTGGTCATCAATAGGGAGCCTTGTTACTATGGTGACAGACAGATGGATTAATGTGATGTTTAGAGAGAGATGGCAGTGCCAAATTTTGATATATACAGTAAGCACTAATGTAGTGCCTACACACGAAGGCATGCATGCAGAAAATCTCAGGGTTAGTTCTTCCATAGGCACAGAGAGAGTTTTGGCACAAAATTCCCATTATCTCTTGACAGAAAGTGGCCATCTGTCTCCCGCTTACAACCTTCAAAAATTGCCTGTTGCAGTCAAGGGCTGTTGCTTTAGAAACTCTAAGCGAATGTCTAATGGGGCCTGGTATAAAGAACTGCTGCTGTCAACATGTATATAATAAGCCATGAAGCTACTGGTCATCTGAGAGTCATCGACTGTACTTCACTGCCTGAAGTGCAGTTTGCATTACTCACTGCACCTCTCACTGATTAGAAAGGAATGTGAGGTATACAAAATCAACTGGATCTTTACATAGCACAGACAGACTGCATGTAATTATTCCTAACAAATTTCACAGTTCCTTCTCTCTCAAACCTTAATGACTGGCACCTTCATCACCCATCTCACTCACCCCCTTACATAGAGCTCTTAATGAGCTTTCCTGTTTGTAGAGTATTAGCTTAATGGTTTGTGTCTTGCAAAAATCCTCAGAGAAGAAAATAATATAGGAGTAAAACAAGATAGCTGATGAATTACCCAGCAAAAAGAACTAAGATATTATGTCAGGTGCATAGTTTATTTTATTCTCCCATGTACCATGTTTGAACTATTCATTTATTGCAGAACTTCTTCACTGCAAAAAACTGCAGTAAGCAGCTATGTTCATTGAACAGTTGGATATTTTTAAAAGACAGATTGACCTGCAGACTGAAATTCTGGCACAAACTTGTTGCCCTTAGAAATATCCTAAATGTGAAATCAGAAGTACTTTACCCAGATCATACAATTCATTTATGTTACAAGAGTAATTTAATTAGAAATGTTTATCATCCATCTGCACAAACTGATAATTATCATTCATCGTGATGATAATATTCAGCTCTCCTTCCAGGTCTTTTTTAATTGTAACATTAACCATAGCAATTAAGCCCTGTAAATGACCGCAAGAAGGGCCTTTGGATACAATCGTCTCTGGAGCTGATAAAGATAAGTATACACTTCATATTCATGCCAATTAATTCCGTGGCTGGATTTCTCAAGTAGGTGACGTATTATATTTGAACCGATTTTATATTGGCCAACTCCCAACGATAAATAAAATACTAGTCCCATTTCTTTTCCCAGTGTTTTGCAACATATGCCATTGCTAAAGCTCCCCAGACCAGTGTAGTTGGCCTCATGAGGACACCAAGTGGCAAGGGCTGGGCACCGCAGCTCTCCTGGTCCATTCGGGCATCTGACAGAGCAGCTTCTAAAAATGATGCTGAAGATGCTAGTAATATTTCTCTCCGCCTCTGAGAGCCATCATAACTTGGTGAGTTCGATCTGAGTCAGTCAAAAGCAAACCATGTTTGACATCACGCTTACCCAGACCCTCTGATTAATTCACACTGGATTTGTGGGGGAATCTGCCCACCCATACCACGTCAGTCAGGCTGAGGAAAAATTCAGGAGGCCTCAGTCCAACCTCCTCTTCAAAACAGAGTCAGCCATGAGTTCAGACCAGGTCTGAACAGCTTTAAACAGACAGCTGTGCAAAATGCAGAAATGAGATGGCACAGCCTCTGTGTGCAACCTAATCTGAGCCCAGCTGTACTCATGGAGGACAGTTTTGGGGAGATGTTTGAGCTACAGACTATGAAGTATCTCGTGAAGCCCACAGCAGGAGACACATGGGGTAGACAAATTCATGTACTGAGCTGCCACCAAGAGGCCTCCATCTTGCCAACTGTAAATTTGGAAGTTTCCAATTCTGCCCATCTGAGACATGAAGAACAGGTTGGCAATAGGTCATAACCTAACTGGTGGTTCAAGACCACCTCTGCTATCTCAGGTCAGACATCCAGGCAGACCGGCTGACTCTGAAGTCCCAGGCCATAATTTAAAGGCACCCTGGTACAACCATTTCTTTTTTCTTTGCTGTTAAGTTTTTTGAATTTTGTCAGAAATAAATTTTCTCTGGATCATGATAAAGGTGTTTGTAGTACAGCAAAATAACTACTAAAAGGTGATAGAGTACTATTCTACAATGAAATACATACTGAAATCCTTACGGACACAACATCCAGTAAAAAACAAAACAAAACAAATCAACTTCATAAACGTATTTACTAAGACTCTAAAGCAATGGTAATATCACAGGCATTGGGAAGAGATCTAGTCTAGCATTTGCCTCTCTAGTTAAGGAAGGAATGTGGGCACAGACAAAGAGATGCAAATATATTTCACTTACACAGAGAGAATACTTCAACCACTGAGAAGGTAATAAAACATGAAATTTAGTAAGAGTTAAGATTATAAAATAAGTAGATACACATATGTGCAGGAAACCCCTCCAACATTCTGAGAAGCATCCCACAGAAACATGCCATCTCCTGCAGCTTCCCCACAAACATCAGTCAGTTTTCCTCAGGAGCTCCCCAAGCATCCCCATCTCTGCAGAGTCACATGAACATAGTCCAGGGCACCGGGCAGCCTTGATTCACAATAACATCTCTGAAACTCGCCTCTGACTAGCCCTAATGTCATCATGTATGAGTGCTAATTTGGGATTTACAGCTGGAACTCTGGTCACGCTGCCATTGGAACTTCCGCCATCTACTGAACTGTGGCCAGGCTCTGGCCATACAGAGCTCTGGTGTCAGTGTAACATTCACACACAGCTAGTCTTGTCCTAGGTCAAGCATTGCCTACTGAATAAACAAACGGAAAAGTGAAATAAAAAAAAAAGAAGTTACTGTTAAAACAGAAAGGTGGGCCAGTGCTGAAGGAGATGACTGGGCATCCAGAGATCCATCCTCCAAGCCTGTGCCTACGCCAAAAAATACTAAAGCAGAACTGCACAAACTGATTGATTTCTTCATTTCCTCTTCTCTAAATGGAAAAATACCCCTCACATAAATCTTTGAAGATAGCTCAATCAATATTTTTAAAATGTCTTCTCTTTTTCAGATGCAAAGCTCTTACTATAATTGTTCTTGTGTCTGATAGATGATCACTGATCTTGTCAGTATTTCTGTGGCTAAATGCTATAAATCATTATTTAGTGACCAGACTTTTTCTAGAAAAGATCCGAGAATTTACTCCCAGTGTGGGAATTTCATACACCTGATTCTTAAGAGAGGCACAACAGTAAGCAGTTCCTTATCATAAAGACAGACAGTACTGTTAGAAACAAAATCATAGACTCAGAATGCTTCAATTTCTTGTCCAGCAGACCAGAAATTTGTTCTGAAATACTTACACAGCTTACACACAGAGGGTGTAAGGTGCCCCGTACTTTCAAATATCAAAGCCTTCAGAAGTACAGGAGATGATCCAACTCAAAGAGTAAAACCTAGTTCTCCCAAGAGCAGAAGAACAGCTCAAACGCTTTTTCTTCTCTCCTTCCAAAACCAGCATTTGGCTCTCCCGAATTCTTTTACATAAGCAAATTCTGTTAACTGAATATGTCATTTTAACAAGTATTCAAATCAACCTCCTGCATGTTTTGAATTGGATTTTCTATCTCCAGAACTGATGCTGTGCTTTATCTGCCAACTGTCTCTGCAGTGGCACTGAAGACTGCTCTGGATACATTCTATCAGACACCTCAATAACTCAGTAAACATATTTATTATGCCACAGTGCTCTTACAAACTAACCCTTTCTCCACTGAAGACCTGATTTCTATCTTAGTCCTGAAGTGAAACCAGCCTTGACTGTGAATTGCCAGCATTCTCTGCAGTCCTGCAGTTAGTTGTCTGCTCATAAGACGACAGGAGCAGGAGAAACACAGATCAGCATTATATTAAGAAGTCTGCACATGGTGATTGTATTTCTTGAGCTGCTTATGGGAAGGAATGCCACGTATTCATGAGGATTATTAAAACAAACAAACAAACAAGCTTAGGGAATGTGTTTATGCAAACTTGTTTCTTTTGTATTTTTCTTAAATTTATTTTCTTTCTTTTAAACAATAAAAGAGGCCCACTGAAGGAAGTCTACCAGCCACAATTGCTTTGCTGTGAAATTCTGCATCCTGGCCATTGCAAACCTCAACACAAAGTAAACAGTGCCTGAACTCAGCACTCACAATTTAATAATTCTGTCCAAACTTTTATCTGTAGTCAAATTAAATTAGTACAAGCAATGCATGTTTACTTACTTGCATATATATTTTCATGGCCTCATTTTAAGAACCTTTGAATATTTGATACCAGAATCATTAAAATTGGTCTTTCGAACAAAAATGTGTCTAATTTCAGGAAGAGATAACTGAATTGTAGAAAACATAGCTGGTAGCTATATGTAGATTGCTCTGTTTGCTTGTGTACTGTAAGAGTGACAGAGAAGGAAGAAGAGATAATGCAAAGCTCTTGTGTAAATTGTACTTGAAAGAATTACATTAAGTTATATAACAATTTCAATGGACATAATTTTGCTGAACATCTCTCTCTCTCTGTTTTAAAGCATGACAATTTGTTTTATAACACTGAGAATTTTAAGTTCCTCAGAAAGACACAGTGGATTTCATAGGTTTTATGCCCTACTTTAAGTCTTTGTGAATGATTAATAGAGACAGATCTTATCTGACTATCTTAAATGTAGATTCTTGGCACTGTTCAAATCAAGATTAAATAACGTTATTATTCCTTTTTCTCATCTCCTTCCTAGTCCTGGAGATTTGAAAGAAAGTGACTTATTGATTGATGTGAACTCAAAAAACGATCCTAAGAAGAAAAAAATCTAGGATTTTATCATCAAAGATAAAAAGCACGTTATTATCTCTCACAGTTCAATGATTACTCTTGCAGAAACAGTGGTGGTCTTGGCCCAATTTACAGTCAAAATGTATGCATGCCATTGTTTCAGCTTTATGCTTACTAACAACATCTAAATATTAATACATAGTATTTAGAATCACAGAACAGATTAATAGGCTGGAAGTCACCTTAAAGACCACTGAGCTCCAGCTCTCCTGCTGTGGGCAGTATTGCCACCCTCTAGATCAGGCTGCCCAGGGCCCCATATTTATATCCTATTTGCTGCAGCCTTCAGATAAAACAAAAAGTGGTATATCTCCCCTTAGTGTTGTCACCGTGCTGTTTAAAATTCCAAGACCACTTTTTCCAAGAGGTTTTATTATTTGTGCTGGAATCAGAAAGAACTACAGTCCTAATGCTACTCCAAAACACACAGAATCATAGAATGATAGAATTACTCAGATTGGAAAAGACCTTAAAAATCATCAAGTCCAACCACAACTTAAGCATACTACCCTAACTCTAACAACCCTCCGCTAAATCATGTCCCTGAGCACCACATCCAAATGGATTTTAAACACATCCAGGGATGGTGACCCAACCATTTCCCTAGGGAGCCTATTCCAGTGCTTAACAAGCCTTTCTGTAAAGAAGTGTTTCCTGATATCCAACCTAAAGTTACCCTGGTGCAACTTGAGGCCATTCCCCCTCATTCCTGTCACCTGTCACCACTGAGAAGAGACCAACCCCACTCTCGCTGTAAGCACCTTTTAGATATTGGAAGAGAAGAATAAGGTCTCCCCTCAGCCTCCTTTTCCCAGACTAAACAGCCCCAGTTCCTTCAGTCTCCCCTCCTAGGGCAAATTCTCCAAGCCCTTCACAAGCCTTGTTGCCCTTCTTTGGACCTACTCCAGCATCTCAGTGTCCTTTCTATACTGTGGTGCCCAAAACTGAACACAGCACTCGAGGTGAAGCCTCACCAGTACCAAGTACAGGGGCAGGATTACTTCCCTAGTCCTGCTAACCACAGCATTCCTGATACAAGCCGGGATGCCGTTGGCCTTCTTGGCAACCTGGGCACACTGCTGGCTCATATTCAGCCAACTGCCCATCAGTTCACCCAGGTCCCTTTCACATATGGGAACCGGGGGTGCTTTCTCCCAATGGAGGAAGACTGGTAGTTAGTGAGGTGCTCTGAAAAGCGGAGCTGGGGCTGATGAGTCAGCTGTATGACAGTAACAACTGTGTTCCACAACCACTGCTGCTTCGCTGTGTGAGATGTGTGTAATGCACATGCATTAGAGGCTTCCGATTGGTTTGCAGAAGTACCACGACCAGGAAGTTTCCCAAAATACTGAATTTTTGCCTAGCAACCCAATCCCCTGCAATCAGACCCCTAGATACACACTATAAATGATGACGAAGAGGTTCAAAGAAAGAAAGTGAGGAAGAAATGCTTGTGCTCTGTTTAGATGCGTGTTTTTTCTCTCAACGTGGTGCCAGATCCGAGCCGTACGTCAGTCACCCACACTGCTGTGGGAAGCAGCGCACACCGACACTGTGATTCTGCCACGGTGTTTAAAACGGGAGATGCAATCTGGAACTTCAAAACGTATTTGAAAGCAACGACATCCGTCAAGACAGCTCAGTGAAATTCATTGGGAGCAAAGATTTCAGTTTCGTTTAGTGAAGTCCATCACGTTGTCACTGAGATTTACATAGAAATCCCTTCCAAGTGCGCTAGTATAGCCGCATTCTGCGAGAGGCTGTGGCTTCTGCCCATTCACCCCTGAGTTACCCCACATATACCGGCACCCACAGCGGCTGCGCAGCCCAGAAGAAGGAGGAGGAGGTGGAGGAGATGGAAGAGGAAGGGCAGCCGCGCCGCCTGCTCCGCTCCTTTTCCTTCCGGGTTAGCTGCCGCTGCCGCCGCGTCCTCCAGCTGCCCGGCCATGGGGGATTCCCCGCAAACTGCGGCTCCGCTGGACCCCGCGCTGGGGAGGCCTCTTCCCCGGGGCCGCGGGAGCACTGCGGCCTCTCAGGACAAGCTCTTCCTCATTAAAGGTGCTGGAAGCGCCTCCCTTTTCCTCCCCTCCCCACTCGGGTCACAGGCGGGCGGCAGCACGTGGGGCGTGCGTGGCCGAGCCCTGGAGCGCTGTGAGCGCGCGGGCTGCGGGAGCCGGGAGGCGCGTCCCGGGCGGAGGGTGCACAGTCATTGCCTCAGGGTGCTTCTCCACGTTGTAGTGCTTTCCGGCCCAAGTCCCATGGCTGGAGGCTGTGCATTAAGCTCCTCTTCTTTTGGCAGACATTAATTAAAAACCAGTTGCTATTTCTGAAATCTGGAAAACGTTGCTACTGAGTAGACCTTGAAGTGTAAAATGCAGGGGGCACCCTGTGTTCTGTCAGGGTGTTGGAGGTCCTCCTGTTCCCAGGCTGCATGTCCTCCACACATCTCACTGACACGGCTACAGCAAACTTCTCCATCACAGTAATATTATAACCAAGTTTTAGAAAGAGAGACCTGACATAAGGGGATTTTGATTCTTGCTTCCTATTCAAATGATACATATATTTAAACTTTTTTTACCCAACAGGTGCAAAGGCAGAGCTTGTTGCCTCTACTAAGGGCATTTTGGTGTGAGCCAGGTGCTGTATAGTGCACTCAGGGTCCATAGGAGGCCTTTTCCTACAAGTGGTCTGATATGGCTACAGATCCCCTTCTGATGCAAGAAGCAGATCCCAAGTGGCTGCAGAAGAGCTGGCAGCAAGGAGCGCTTTGTGGTTTTGCTCATGTGGTTTTGTTGGTTTTTAGGTTTGTTGGTTTTTTGTTTGTTTGTTTTTTAAATAGATCATTAGAACATAAAGCTGACAATGCCAAAGAGAATCTGTTACTTACAGAATGGTGTTCTGAGGTAGGTTTTCAGATGGCTGTTTGAAGTCATCAGTGGTGCAGCAGGAGAAGCACATCATCTTGTAACACAGGGCTGATTTTAGCATCCTGATTCTGGAGTGAGGCTGCAGAGGGAGCATGAAAATTTGGAAGTGCTGTGAAAAGGCATCCTGGGATGTGGATGACTTCTGCCTCTTGCAAATAGATGCTTGCTATTTGTTTTCAAAAGGCTCCATTTCAAGATATTCTTTCCTCCTTACCATAGGTAATTAATATAAATAATTTGGAAAACTGTTCCTTTTCCCTCAGCAAATGTTTACAGACCTTTCTTTTTCAGGTGCTGCTTTCAAAACAGATTGCTTTTTGTTTTTTTCTCCTTCTAGGAGACAAGATCTTAATTTCACAGAACCACAGATAATTGTATTCTCCATAAAAAGGCGTGCACACCTCAATAAGATGGGAGATATGTACAGCAGTCCCAGAATGTGACATGTTGATATCACTTGCAGTGATTAATAACAATTTAATTTTTATGTCTTAAACTTTTCTTGGCAGGTGGAATTTTTCTAGGTACGGTTGCTACAGCAGGAATGATAGCAGGTTTTGGCACTACACTTGCCATGGCAAAAAAGAAGAACCCAAACTGGTTCAATAAGGTCTGTTCATTTAAACTGTTTTCCAGTTGTCATACACAGGAAAAAACAACGCATAAAGTGCTTTGTAGTAATAATGATATAGGTACAGTTTGGCTGCGCAAAGCTGATGGCCAGAGCACTAGACTTCAAGTCAGTAAGAGCAGGTTAAACGTTTGCTAGGAATAGTGTAAGATTTCTACGTTGCTCAACTTAAATACCGCAAAGTGTAGAAAGGAAATGATACTTTTTGTGAAGGTGTGATAGGTGAGTGATTTCAGAAGGGAAGGCTAAACTTTGAAAATTATGTAACTGCCCATAGGGGATCTCTGAGGTTTTGCCACCAAAGAGGTAAAGATACTTAAATTTATAGTTTGTACAGGTCATTGCCTGTTATTAAAAATAACACATTGTTTCAGTAACAGAATTGTAACTATAAATAACTAAGGGTAATCGCATCCATATTAGACATTCGACCAGGTGTTTAGTTTTAGAATAGTTTAGGCCACGTGAATGCACTCAATACAATAAACTGATGAAGTGGAACGTATTTATTTTAGGCACAGTTTCCTTTCAGAAACATTCTTGTCCACAAGGAGATAGTCGGAAAATTGAGGCCTTTATCATTTCTCCTATGTCCTCCAGAAATAAAATAAATTAAGTGTGAAGCATGTATTTTGGGAAACAAACCAGTAAATCCTGCCTTTTTTTTTTTTTGTACGAAGATTTGAGCATTGTTCAATAGCTTATTTTTTCAAATCAGAGAGGTTCTCCCCTTCGCCCCCCCCCCCAGTATTAGAACAGTAACAGGGAGGAAACAACATATACAGTAACAGGCTCGTGATTGAAATTCTGTTCTCCTAAGAATGTTCTTTTTGTAGTTACACCCTTTTCCCCCCATGTTGTCATAGTATTCTACTGTTGTCCTCTTATTTTTTTGGCATTTCTTAATCAGCTTTCTTGATGCTCTGAACAGCATATCGGATAATCTTATGACAAACTGGTGTTTACAGAAAGCCCTATCTTTATGCTTAACATCCCTCAGCAGTCAGCTTGGAACAGAACTCTTTTTGACTGCTGTCAGTGAAACCAAATCAACCGCTTCCACATAGCACTTTTTTTTTTTTTGAGACAATCTAGCATTTAAATAGTGGTCGAGTTATTTTTGCCAGCAGTTTTCACAGATAATGACTCCTATTTAAAGATTCTATGTAGAGGATATTTTCATCCATTCTCTTTCCATCTTCCAAATGGAAATTCTACACGTTGTATATGTGTAGACTATTGAAGCAGGAAAATGTCAGAAATCATCAGCATCTTTAAATCGACTCAATACCATCTCTACTGAAAGAGTTAGAAAAGTTCATTAGCTGCAGGAAGGAAATAGTAGAACTCTGTTTAATAGTGTGGTTAGAGAGCTATTGTTTGTGTCTGTGTATCTATGTGTATATACACACAGTGAACACTTGACAGCTTCCACTTTGGGATGTCCAAATCAGAACCTATGAGGAATAAAATGGATTTTAGTTGTGTCCTTCGTACATTGGTGTTTGTCCTTGGGTAACTGCCCAGAACTGTATACAAAGGACAAATGTTAATACTGGGCACTGTCCGAAGATCATTTTAACATTTTGATGAATACAAAGCCAAGAGGAAAAAAAAAAAAAACCAAGCACTGCTGATGCTTTTTCACTGGCCACATACCATTCTGATAGATGCTGTACATGTGTTTAGTTACATCGAAGAAGAAAGAAAATGAAAGGGACTGAAGCTGCCCTGTAGCAGCTAAATACAGTGCAGGGGGCATTGCTGTCCAAGAATGGCTGGCTAGCAGCAAACACTTGGTGTGAACTGACTGATGTGAACCACCACGTGTTTGAGCCCTTCATAGCTGCACCTTATACTGATGTGCTGTGACAAAAAAAGTTTCCATTGTGGCTGGGAGTCTGTCATGGTCGAGACTCCACTCCTCTTGGCCTGAGATGACTTTCCCAAGTGTTTTGTATTTTTGCAACACTTCTAATGGAAGACTCAAGCAGCAGAATCTCAAAAAACACCCACTGTTATTTCTGACGAAAATGGGAAGTGTGAAAATGGAATAGAGCTATCTTTGTTGCCACTTAGTGAACTCTACAGGGAAATGAGGCTTAGTGTTGCTATTTGTTATTTTCAAAATTTTCCTAAACAGCTTCTAGAATTCCTTCAGAGTTGCAGCATCTCAAAATTGGTCTCTCAGTCACTGTTACATCCTACATCAAGCTGAAAGATGCATAAGTTCCTCTAGTTTCCCAATCTACTTTTACAGGAGCTTAGATGAAGGCTTATAGGCTAACGGTCATGCTCCACTCACACCACTCTTGAAAAAATCATACCAAAATCAATTCTATAGAAGGACTGTGTTCCAGTGCAGCTGTCATGTTTTTGAGCCAGTTGTGGCTTTTGAGTGGCAGGATAACTGTCAGATTCTTGTGCCTATTGAACAGTTTATTTCAGCATCTTCAGATATTAAAACTCCCCAAATGCTACTGGCAGACTTGAAAGTTGTTCCTGGTGACAAAGCAGCTTATATACCCACTTTCATGGTACTTTGGGCCTGCTGACATCCATAACAAGAGTTTCTATGACATCACATAAACTGGCAAGGGAAGAAAATTTCTAGAGTAAAAGTTAAATTCCTTCATTCCTATTTTTCTTTTTTCCAGTTATTGTTCACTTTGTCTTGATCAGTCTTTTTTTTTTCCCCCCTAGGGTATTACTGCTACAGCTGCATTACCTGAGAGTGGCTCATCACTGGCCTTACGTGCCCTAGGATGGGGCTCTCTGTATGCATGGTGTGGAGTTGGATTACTAAGTTTCGCCATCTGGAAGGCTCTGGGTGTTCACAGCGTGAGTAGCAAATATGATTCTCCAAATACTGTTGTTTTTTTTCCAGAATTCATCATATTATGTACCACTTCAACTGGCAGTACCCTTGGTTCTCAACACGTACAGTGACTAACCAGAGGCTTGTGCAGACTGAAAAGTCATTTTTGCATCTTTTGTAAGTGTGATATTGTGGAGGAGACAGTTCTGGGGGAAGAACAGTTCTGTCCTGCTTGTGTTTATTTACACACATTTCAAATTCTTCAAGAGTCAGTGTTCTACATTAGATATTAAAATAGTGGCTGCAAATTCTGCATTCTTTGCTTATTAAATTGAAGGCTACCCCCAAATCCTCTTTTTATAGACGTCTATTTGTCTAAGTCCTATTTTCTACATCAGGACATTGAGGATGTAAGAAAAATTGGGGTGAAGATAGCTTTCTGCCCCTAGTGCATTTCTGTAAGGAGCCAAAGGGGCAGAAGTTAGAGGATTTGAGTGTAACAGAGTGGTGTTCCATGATGCGCCACATCAAGGCAAAGAAACTTGGGAAGCATCTGCGTGCTCCAAGGCACAAAGGTTATCTTGAATAAAGTTCTCATGTTCCACTATCTCACTGTGTTGAGTGTGAGCACTGGAGTTCATGTAAGCGTTTTGGCTTGCCCCCAGTAATGAGCCGTGACTGAAGAGAGACCCTGCAGCTAGCAGAACTCCTCTTCCTTTTAAAGAGTAGGAATGAATAGACTTCCCTTACTTTCTGTGAAAAATTACTTTTATCTCCAGCAGAACATTTTGTGATCTCCCAACACTAAAAGCAGCAATATATTGCTCCACCCTAATACTATTCTCATTAATACCTTAATTCAAGTTCACACTTCCTATCCACTCTGCTAGTGAATCCTGTGAGTTAGGCATTTGTTTCCTGTGACAATCAGAAACATCAATGCAATGGAATAGTAATACAAGAGGTATGATGATAAAGGGACTTGTGCAATAGAAAGGTGTTAAAAAAGAAAAAGTGCTCACCCATCTCTGAAGATCTAGGCTCACAATAGAAACTCCACGAGGAAGGGATCTCCAACCAGAGATCCTTCCCCAGTGGCAGTCAGCCCTTAAATGAGGTCTAAGAGAGGTGCAGCCAGGCTCCACCCATTCCAGTCACATGCCTTCATCTGTGCTCCCAGAGTTGAGCGGGTCCTTTCCCCAGGTGCTCAATCAGTGGTTCAGGCCCTGACTCAACAGTTACCATACTGATCCCAGCATGCACCAATTCTTTAGTTTCTAATGTTGATTCTCAGTAAGAACCAATAAAGGAAAGCAGGATGTAAGATGCAGCTACAGTGCATTTTGTTTATACTCAAGTCCTGCTTGTTAGGCAGTAGAGGAATAGCAAAGAAAGAGGAGCAGGCATGTCAATTTATACTCTCTGTGTGCTGAGCTACAGCAATCTAGTAGTCTGCTGAATTTACTCACTTACATCATCAGCCAAAAGGATTCACTTCACACCATGCTGCTGATTCTTGTTTTCACTCAGAGTACTTCTGGTCCTGCTGAAGGACACTATGATGCTAGTCAGCAACTTACTTTAACAGTTTGTCAGTAAGCTTAATTTTTATTTCCTTAGAAAATGCTGACCTGGACACACAGCTGCTTGGTTTTTTTGTGAGGCTGTTTTCACCGAGACTATATGACAGGGAAGAAAAACACACGCTTGAGGTAGCTAAGTACAGGAAATGTCACAGTTTCACAGCAGGATCTCATGTCATAAGGGCACAGCAGCAGTACATGGCATTTTAGCAAGTACCTAACCATTTATCAGAAAGTCATTCTTTGTTATATTCTGTGTTGCCTTAGTGTTGAAAGAAGATAGGGCAAACTGAAGAGGCTCTTGCAAACACCTTTTGGTATTGGTTTCTTTATGTAGAGTGCTTTTGTTTAACACAGCATGGCATGGTTAGAACTGGAGACACTGGAGGAAGTGGTTTTCTGTCAAGAGGCTGAGGCTACAAATAATTTTGAACCGCCCTCTTCCTCTGCTTTTCACTGACATATTTATTGCTTTTGCTATGGATTTAAGTTCCAGTTGGAAGAAGGAAAATCATATGATGGCACTACTCATTACAGCATAAATGCAAATTTACATTTGTAAGTTTCTGCCATGCATTTCTTCATCCTGTTTTACTGTATGTGTTAAATATATGTTTAAAATTGTTAGAAGTACAAAAGCAGAAGTGTGTTAAAGATTAAATATTCTGACCCGAGAAAAGGGACTCTAGAAATATAATTCTAAAGAACAAGTAATTTTTGATTGTTTTTGACACTTTGCATGCTGCTTTAAAATAACAATCAGGAGGAAATACTATATGTCACGGAAGATGTTACTTTTGTGCATTAAGTATCATATTCATGAGCACCTGAGGTTAAGTAAGTGTTACAAGCTGGCTGGCACATCATTAGTTCTGGATTCCTAGGTATATTCTAATTCTGAGAAAGGGTTTTCCCATTTCAGAGAAGCACAATAGTTTTGAAAATTCTTTATCTCTGCTTCTGTGACAGCAATAATATGCTAGCAATCAGTCAATTCCAATGCTAACTTTTAGGGACATATAAAATACATTTGTTAAAACTAATAATTGTTACATAGTCACAAAAATAAGTTTAATTTTGTGTGAAAATATTTACTGGAGTTATGGTAAAATAAAATTTCTTCAAACATTAACTTTTAGACAAAAGCTACTGCAGGTTTTATGTTCGTCTCAACATTTTCAAATGAACATTTTAATTTCAGTTGAACAACTTGAGAAAAATCTGTTGGAGGTTCACCTGAATATAAATATTTTGATTCTTCAGCCCAGTTTAATTCTGTGAACTCCATTACTCAGTAACAATTGCAGGTTCCCCATACCACAGCTGTGAAGAATTTGAAGTTACAATTCCAAGCTAAGCACACCACTGTATGTACATTTGAAAGCTCTGACATTAAAGCAAATGTTAGTCTCTGAAAGTGCTGTTTTGTACATGACCTTAGAGAAACCTCAGTTCATCTTGATGCCTGGAACTTTTGTGATCTTAATAACTAAACTTTTGGCAGCTGAACAAGAAGAAGAGCTTGCTGCCCTGTTCCTTCACCTTACTGCCTTCAACAGTAACCAACTGCCTTTGGGATGTGTTAATTAGTGGTCTGCCCCTGATGCTGTCCTCTCTCAGCTGGGCACTGACTTCAGTTGTTTAAGAGCTTCTGGTAATAATGATAACAACATTATCAACAGCTCATATGGTGTTTCAATATTGTTAGGCATAATAAAATTTTAATTGTAAACACCACAGATGTTTCATTTAGCAAACAAAAATGTTTCATCTGTCACACATAAAAGTACATTAATTGCAGCGTGTTCTCTAATCCATTGCCATGCTCTGTCCTTGTGGATGGCTTGGCATGTTCCCAGTGAGCAGAGGACTGCTTTCACGTACAGTCTGGAGGAGAGCTCTAGTGAAACTAAGCTGCTGTGTTGTTTACTGTCTAATACTGTATCAGGGAGTAAATCATGACAAGAAGCCACAGCGGAAAATCAGATGTGATGGGTCGGAGATCTCATAGGAGTGGCTGGCTAGCCAGCTGGCCTACTGAGCAGTTCCACCTCTGACTGATCAACCCATGTGAACTGCTGAAGGTCATGCACACCACAGCTTGCTTTGACTCTAAAGGAGAAGAAGGGCAAAGCTGGGCAGTGAATTTGGAGAAGTGCAGCCAACAATGTGTTCCGTGCCCTTTGAACCCTGCTCACTTTAGCCACACTCTGGTTTGAAACCATGCACTGCTGAACTGGTGTGAATGGACGCTAATCAGTGTGCCTGCTGTGAGACCTTTCATAGCTGCCACATAGGAAGAGGTGGTGAGCAAAGGACAAAACTAAACCCAGTGATGGGACTGCTACAATGCGATGTGTAGTTGTTGTGTTTTCTTTTTAAGAAAAAAAGTCTACATTATCAGACACCTGTCTGCTACACCTGCCAGGGCAAGGCAGACTTGGTGCGAGAGGGGCAGGGGATGTGACCCTCGTACACAGGGCTAAAAGACTTGAGGATGTGTTTGTAGTTTGTTCTGCACTGCAGCTACATCTGCTGGTAGCAGAAGAGAAAGCCACTATATTCAATATGTTCTTAAAACATTGCTGTCAAGGCCTCCTTCCAGCTCTTAAATGGCTTTATTGATAAGGGTGGTTAGCCTACTGATTTTTATGCTAGCATAAAAACTCAGGAATGATGGTAAGAAACTGATCTTTATGTCTTGGTAAGGGATACAAAAAATTTTATGCAGTCTCAGGATGGGTTGTTAATATCCCCTGACTGCAGTTGTTGCTGTTGTCATCTTCTAATAGGCTACTAAGGAATAAACCCTACTAAATTTCAGTGAGCTCCTATCGCTAAAATGAGAAGTGATGGGTCAGTGAGGACTTGGTTTGATAATAGTTTAAATTCTATTTTTCATTAATGTAAAAGAGAAATCTTCATTTTCAGAACCTAGGAACTGATGGTTTTCTATTTTCATGTACATTGGGCCCCATGCAGACATTATCCGGATGTTGTTAAGATGTCATTAATATGTCATTAGCATGACTTTTTAACTAACTTCCAGTGAACTCTTAGGAGAGCAGTCCATCTTTGATGATGTTAAGGTCCAGCACTTCTGTTGGTATAAGCAAGTGGCCAGCAGCACTGGGCCAATGAAGCAGTTTGGGCCTGGGGCTCTAATATCTACAACCATTCCAGGGGATATTTTAATTATTATTATTACTCTCTATACAAAATACTTCATGAAGTTTGAAATCTTTAGTTTAAGAATAAATTATGTTTCACTAAATAAAAACTTTTGTAAGAAAAGAAATAAAAAAAAATCTTAAAACCTTGTTATTTCACTCAACTTGAATGAGAAGTTTTTATTAAAAAATGAAACCTTTCTGATTTTGTGTCTCTGTTTTACAGATGCTATGATCTGCCATACCTTTTTGTTGTTTGTAAGTCACAGTTCAGAGTCTGTATTAAAATGAGTTCAGATGGTGTAATGTAATTTAGTTTGACCAACATTATATCTTAATTTGAATCATTAGGCAGGAGAGCAGTAGAGGCTAGCCTTGATCCAACAAAAGTTTTAAGGTATGTGCTTAAACTTAGGCATGTGTTAAAAGAGGGGGCTATAAGAAAGAAAGGGACAGACTCTTCAATAGGATCAGTAGTGAGAGTACAAGGGGAAATACTTTCAACTGAAAGAGGGGAAATTTAGACTGAATATAAGAAATATTTTTTTACAGTAAGAATGGCAAGGCACTGGAACTGGTTGTCCAGAGAGGTGGTGGATCCCCCATCCCTGGAGACATTCAAGGTCAGGCTGGAGGGGCTGTGAGTGTCCCTGTTCATTGCAGGGGAGTTGAGCTAGATGACCTTTAAAGGTTCCTTCCAACTCAAATGAGCCTGTGATTCTATGATATGAATGTATGATTTAATAAATATTGTAACATACTGTAGCAGTGGTTTCATGTTCAGACCAGTGGTCACACCTGATAAAATTGTGGTTCCTCCTCCTGCATTACTAGCTGTCCAGACAATGTATTTATAAGCATAAGGTTATCAGAAGTAAGAGGGAACTAATCAGAAATTAAAGGACACATAGTCCTTCATAAATTATTTTCTGATGATAAATTGTCCAAACTTAGTGGCACTTAGGCAGTTCTAGTCTCACATATGTCCTTGAAAGCACATAGAGCTCTGCCATTTGCAGTGATGAGAGAGCTGTGTCTGCGAGGATTAAAGGGGACCTGCCGTTACAGTACTTGAAGAAATTTATGGTCACAGCATAGTCCTGGAAATGGAGGAAAAATACATTATTTTGTCTCTGAACAAGGCCCAAATTCTGTTGTTTTATTTCTGTAATATTCCTTCATTTTGATCTTTAATTAAGCTAAAGTTATTGTAAAACAATAAATTAAAAGCTTAAAGCAAAGCAGAGTTGCAGTTGGAGTGATTTATCTGGTCTCCTGCCTTTTCCTTTGCTGCTTAAACTGATTTTTTTTGAAAGGCAGAAACATAGCCTGTCTGTACAAGCAAG